AGTATGGGGTAGGAATGGCCCCTCAACAAAAAATGAGGATATGGTTTCCAGAGGAGGTAACTGGTGTTGGAAAGGCAGACACCACAGATATCTACTGTAATAGGATGTGGAAGAATTTACTCTGTTGTGACATGTAAAGTTTCATGTAGTGTTTATAGAATTTATTTGGAATTAATACATAGCCATATATCATTTCTTATAGTATTTACATGTCAGTCTTCTCTCCCTCAACTAGATAGTAAAGCTCTTAAAGATAATACCTATCTTAGATCTGTTGAAATCTCTAAAACTGAGTACAGCGCCTGCACAGGGTAGATACTGATAAATGTTTATGGACACTGCTGAAATGGCAATTTATTTTCTAGCAGCGTGCTCATTATTGTTGGTGGCAAATATATCTGGAGTTACACCATTCACTGTTGGTTGAGAACAAGTGCACGCACAGTCCATATTTTTTTTTTTTTTGTGAGACCAGCCCTGTGCTAACATCTGCCAATCCTCCTCTTTTTCTGCTGAGGAAGACCGGCCTTGGGCTAACATCCGTGCCCATCTTCCTCCACTTATATGGGATGCCGCCACAGCATGGCTTGCCAAGCAGTGCATTGGTGCGTGCCCAGGATCCCAACCGGCGAACCCCCGGCCGCCGCAGCGGAAGCGCGCGCACTTAACCGCTTGCGCCACCGGGCCGGCCCCCGCACAGTCCATATTTAGTGAACGAAAGGAGAACACCCTGGCCAGTATCCAGTAGCATAAGGCTAGTGGGATGTGTGAACATAAATTTCGTGGATGCAAGCTATAGCCACAGAATGTGCTTCGTGGACTATAGAGGAAGAGATTAGGGATAAAAAAAAATTTTTTTTCCTCAATTCCAAGACTGGCTATAGTTCGAATAAAATGTTGTTTAGTACCCTTAGGCGGCTGTGCTAGACGTCTCTCAGCCCTTGAACTGTTTGATGTCCAAACATTCAAGAGTATGAGAAAAAAATGACAGGAAAAATCCTCATAGAACTTCCTGTGACAGGTCAGAGTTTAATCACAGCAAATAATGCAGATTTCCCTTTTATTATAGCCACAATAGAAAGGCAGGGCTTGTGTTTACAAAGCATGTTGTTTGGGAGACCTTTGTAAATTGTAATCTTTGGAAATCCCAAACCTATTGGATGTAATCCCATCCATTAGATGAAGGCAACTTGCCTATGCAATAGATCTAGAATAGCAAGTTAAATGGAGAACGTGAACAGGAAGCAGTCATTAAGAATTACAATGGGTAGGATGCAGAGTTAATTCACGGAGATATTTTGTTATGAGATAATTACATCACTGGGACAGCTGGAAAGCTGAGTGCTGTGCTGGACCGCAGTGCTTGCTCTCTGCCCTGCAGCTGGGGGGTCAGGACAATAGAGACAGCGAGAGAACTTACTTTATGGGATAGTTAGGGGCTTGGCTAACTTAATTGTGAAATGATAACGACCTATCCGCCTTTTTTGGATTGCGTTTTGCACAGCTAAACCGGATTCATGGACTTGGTAAATGCTGAGAACCACTTTCCACTTCTACTTTTGAACATTCTCTTGGATCACGTTAAGCTAAGCTCTAATGGATAAATATTGAACAGTAGTTTTCATTTCCTCTAAAAGTCATCTGAGCTATTTTGTTCACGTTCAACACAATGTGATTATATTTCTCTTATGGAACTGCAGTCACGCAATCGTTGAAATGGTATTTTTGTCAATTTACTGAAGAGCAAAAAAAAAAAGTTTTAAGATGTTGGTCAACACAAGGAATCGTACAGTGGAAGTTATTTTCCAGTGTTTATGTTCAAATGTTCAGACCTGTCTGGCTCTTTTGTTTTGCAAGTGTAGGGGTTATAGGCAGCCCGGGCACATTCCTCATTGATTTCTATAAATATATTACGGATTGTTTACCTCCTGCCAAATACCAGGGGTTTCGCTTATTGTTTAGCTCAGTTGCTTTATGTGAGACTTATTTGTTACATTAAAGCGTCTATCTTCTCTTTATTGCCCACCACAGTGACTGTTATTTGGTTTGGGCTAATTCCAAAGGGAGTCATTGTAGACAAAAAAGCATCATAAATATTATGTTCTAAAATTCCTAAGATTAATATTTATAACTGTTGGTTCAAATGTATTTCCTCCCCATTATGACTAATATAACTTAATTTTTACTATGATGATGTTTACCAAACAATTAAGTGAGACAAAATTTCATATTTTAGTGTAGAGCAATATTTCCCAAAATGTCTTCTATGGAGTCCTGGGTCAAGAGGATGTTGATGGCCGGCATTGGAGCCCAAAAGAGGGGCATCCTGCAGGTCCTCCTAGGACTTGTACTTCCCCTGATGTCACTTGTGAATTTCTAAGGAGAATGTAATATGCTGTATTTCCCAAGTGAAATTAGTAATGGCATCTTTAAAAAAATAAGAATTATTATCTCCTTGAACCAGCATGAGCCGCTTCTACCTAACACCATTCTTTTTGTAGCCCAGGAGAGTATATAATTATATACATTAAAATTTATACAAGAATGTCCTACTCTGTGCACTGTCACACGTGTCTCTTTAAAATTCCACTTTTTAAAATTGCCAATTAAAATTAGTGGCTTTTCTCCAAGGCTCCTCACTTGGGGCAATCATCAGTGGCTTCAGTGAGATTGCCTTTGCACGTCTTGTGTCTGGAGTCCGCTTGCTGCAGGTGGCATCAGTGAGTCTTACTATTTTGAAGAGAGTGATGAACTTTGAGGAAAATAACTTGAGTGGGTTAGATGTTATTCTTAAATTGTGTCATCCAAAGAGTGTTTGAAAACGTTTTCGGTGAGATGAAGCAACACAGCATGCTGCCAGGGCTGTTAGGTAACTAACAACGGTTTGGGAGCAGCAGGTGACCCTTTGGTTCAGCAGTGTGTTATGATCATTTCATTCTCCAGCTATGTCCCTGTCAAAAATGTTTTTTTCTTGTGGAAATCACTAAAATGTCTTATATTGCAAACTGTAAGTGCAGTAAGAACTGGAATTACGAAAATCATTATTGACCCGAGGCAGTGACCAACAATGTGTTTTTTCGTTAAGGAAATGTATTAATTATAACGGAAGACATTGTTAAAGTAACGTTTAAGAAGCACAACTGTAATGGTGCAGTTCCCATGTTTGTATTTGATTTTAGTACATGGCATTTTTGGTTCATTGCTGTTGTATTTTATTACAAAAATAGAAGCAGCAGATATAAAGCAGCTTGGTGATTGTGGAACTCCTTTTTCTGCTTCAAAAGGAAGAAAAAAAGTGAAGCTGTCAAGTATATGGGTTTAATGGAAAAAAAAGAAGATGGTTCAAAGGAGCCTGTGAATAAATGGTAGTTACCTCAAATTACCAAATCAAAAGAGTTGTTTTGATAAAATTCCCAGGTGTCAAATCCATGCATGAGAGCAATCATAGTTTTCATAGTATGGCACTCATGTGATTTATGGCACTATCTTTAATAATCTAGTAATTAGAAGTTTTTACTTTATGAATAATCTTCTAGAATAAGTCACATTAGTGACATTAGAAGACTTTAGAATTTCAAAAAATTAAGTTTAGAAGTAGATGATATTTGGAAGTAGATAAAAGTGAGGAAGAAATTCAGTTGATCTTAATTGGTTTTAATGGAGTTGTAGAACTCACCCCAAACTGCCCATAATTAAAAAGTAGTTTGGATCTGGCTGTGAAGGACGTGTGGTTGTTGGTGTTGTTCACCCCACCAGATTTAACTTAATTATAGTGTTGTTTAGCTTCTTTTAAAGTTTAGTTTAGATTCACAGAGAAGTACCAAATGTTGTGGGACCCATTTAGCCCAGAAATGCAGCAGGGTGGTATGGTGAACCAGCTAAGCATTAAAAATTTAACAGAGGAAATATACAAAGTGGATAATTGAGAGTCAACCCCACATTTTAGTAATTGGGTTATATGCACATTATAGTTAGTTTCTTTGAAGGAAATGTTTATTCAGTTTTTAAAAATGAAAGAAAATAATGTGAATAGTATTTTATTAGCCTTTTCTTAGTATTTATAATACATTCTTGTCAAGAAGTTTATTTACAGCTTGTTTGTAGATGGTTTGTGTAATTCTTCAAACATTTGTTGAGCATCTCATGTGCCAGGTAGTGTGCTGTGTATGGTTGAAACTAAAGGAAAATGTGTCTTTGGGCTTGAAAATTCTTTTCACTACTGAAGGCTTTGTTGTTAAAACTGAAATTTTGAATTAGTTATAGGATTTTATGGAAGAAATTGGATTCACTCATCCAAACTTTGTTAATCTGTCTTTATCATTTAAGGTTGGTATAGTTTACCATTGCACTTTCAAACCTTCCCTCCCAAAAAATGTTAAAATTTCACAGTTTTGGTTAGCTTGATACTTGGAATTTTAAAACTAAGAATTTATGCCCTTTCCAGGGACATGATTTGATTCAACAGGATGAGAAGTCACTTTTAGAAATAAACCAAATTTCTCCATATTCCATTATACTTATTTTCACAAGCATGATTGTAACACCTTAAATTCCAAGAAAATCTTCATTGCAGAGTCCAACATCTGCAAAGAATGCTTAATTTGTCTCTTTAATAATTCTTGAAATGTGAGCTAAGAAGAACCGTATTTTTCTTAGACTGCAGTTTTTAAAACCATCTCCATCGGCAAGTTCTTCCTAAGTTCTTAACTGAGGAAACTCTCCAAGCAGATGTTCTCTCTCATGCTCCAGTTGTGTTGCTTTCTCTTTGCTACTGTGGGTTTTGTCACCACTTAACCAGGTGCTACTCTCCTGAACTTTCATATTCATATTAAAGTATCACATCCCATTAGGTATCCTTACATATTATCACGGAAATGATCAGCACTGGTTCATCTTTTTTTTCCCTATTATGTGATCAAATTGAGGGATGTGTATGAGACATACGGGTTACCTTTTTGCTTATTGCCACCTACTTAATATCTCTTTCTTTTTTCTTTTAGGTTGTTTGATGTGTGCACAGTGTCACGAACAGACAGAGAAACCAAACTAACATTAGTGTTTGAACATGTTGATCAAGACTTGACCACTTATTTGGATAAAGTTCCAGAGCCTGGAGTGCCCACTGAAACCATAAAGGTACAAGAATCGTCTTTCTGCCTGATCAAACAGTCACGCTATTGTAGTCTACTAAGCAGTGGCATTCCTTCCTTGTGAAAACTGCCACATTTAGAGCTTTTGGAACTTAATGTATAGTTAAATATATCTAACTAAGTGTAATGTTTTCAGAATGTGATATAGTCTGGTTCATTAATTTTAGGGCTCAGTAGAAAAACCCTTTAGTTCTAATACATATGAAAATTATCAAAAACTATTTTCTTGTACCTTATCTGGCCCTAACCTAAGAAAGTATAGTGTAGCTCAGTCTAATAGCTCAGTCTTTTTCCGATGGTTCACGAACTCTGAGGGATATGATCTGAAACATCATGCATGAGCACATTGAATATTATAATTGTATACTGGCTCCAGGGTATACCTACGCTATGTCAATCTGAAATACTGGTTGTTAGGCTCTTCTTTCTCCATTTTTTCTCTCATTCATAGAACATTTATAGGAAGCCTAAGTGCCAGGTACCACTCCAAGTTTTTGGGATTCAAAGATGACTTAAGACTCTTTAGAGGTCAGCAAGCTAGATACAGTGTATGACTAGAAGTCCTCTCTTCCTTTAAGTCTAATGGGAAAAGCTACTTGTCAAGTTTTGTTGATTGTACTTCTGTTCTGCTTAATTGGACTTCCCAGCAGATCTTTTAGATCTATGCACCTCACATGCAGGTCTTCAGGAAGACCCTTTTGTTTATGTGAATTAGGTGACTTCACAGAGTCCTTACCTTATCATTCATTGTTTAGAACTGAGTTATAGAATTCAGCATTATTTTAGATGGGAGTTCCTAAATGAAAATAGTTTATCTTCTGAACAGAGTAAGAAATGTCTTTTAGTGATGGTTAGGTCGTGTTCCGAGATACAGATAATTTAGAATTGGACATATTGAATGATTCATTCCTTTGGTTTTAGACTGTTAAAGGATTTGTGTTCTCCCACCTGGCTTTCATAAGAGAATATGATGCTCAGTAGTAGTCTCATTTCTTCTTGAGCAGTTTCAAGAACACAAGGCCCTTTAAATGTAGGTATTCCTAATTACCTCTTGTTGGTTCTCTTCTCTTCTCTCTCTGCACCCTCTTTCCTCTCAGATTCTTTTCCAATTCTGTGGCTTCAGTCTCTCCTTTATAAGTTTGTCCAAAACTCTATGTTTGGCACGCAGTGCAGGGCATAGCCCCTTTTCATGTACTCTCTTTTCTGGCCAAATTTTACTAATCCCCATTCTCTTAGTGTGTTTCATATTTTCCAACCTCTGTGGCCTCCTTCTCATGCCATTTCTTTTGCTCCCCATAACCTCACCAATAACTATCTGCCTAAATTTTTCCAGGCCCACCTCAGATATCATTTGATCACCTTTCCCAGCTGGATATAATCTCATTTGTCTTACAGCACTTGTTCTGCATATCTCTACCTCTTTATCACGTTTTCTACCTTTAAATTGTGATTATTTATGTCCATATCTTACCTTTTCATGAAGCTTTGTACCCTGACAGTCCCTACACAATGATTTATACACATAGGTACTCAATAAATAAGACATAGTGCCAACCTTTCTTCAGATATAATTATTTCAAAATTGTTTTTCAGTGACTTCCAACAGCTTAAACATATACTGTCAAAATAATGACCAGGTTCTTCTGATACAGTTCTAAGTTCAAAATTACCATTTTGGGGGGGTCATTTTTTTTTGAGCAGCGAGACAAGGTAACCATATATTTATATCATACATAGATAGTATACCACCTACATAGATCTTTTGAGCTTCACATTAAATTCTCCTAGGATGTTACAGGCTGCTGAGGGGAATTGTTTGCAAAAGTATCTGTGTAGTTAAAATGATTGATAAGCCAGAGTGGTGCCCTGTGCTAAGGCTTGATCAGGCAGGAGTAGAAATGAAGTGGGTTGGGGGGAATTCTCAAGGGTGGAGGAGTAAGCAGGGTAAGATGAGGAACAGGGAGAGAGATGGTCACCAAAGTGAGGTAAAGGAGAGACAGGAGTTGGGGAGTGGCTGAGCTGGGGATGATGGAGTCATGGTGCTTGTTACCAGGAGCTTTTGACAAGGTGATTTATTAAAAGTTAAAAGTATTTCTGAGGTTTCATCTGTCTCCAGGAAAAGGGAATATTACTTCATTCTGTGTTGAACAGGAGATTCTTCTTGATGCTGTTAAATTTCTTCAGCCATCAGTGGCAGCACCCCCAATGATCCTATAGGGACCAGATTGGCTGGTAGGGGTAGAGGTGGGGACGAGGGGTTCTGGTTATTTAAGGTTTGTGGTTCATGGTGTATTGATGTTTTCATAGTAAAATAAAACTATGGTCAACTGAAATATTGCAGGCAATTAATTTGATGTTAACGGTTAATTGAACATTTTTTGCTAACTTAAAGGCTAATCACGAAACCCTTTTTGTCTTCATCCTTAATTTTTTTTAAATTTTCTGAACTATTCTAATCCAGTTTTCTTCCTTATTAAATATAAGATTTTTTTAAATCATTTGAGTCTGATCCTTAAGGTCATTATTTAAAACATGAATAATAACTTAAAAGCATTACAAAACCATCAAATGTATAGTTTTAGGCTGAGTATATAATTGACCCAAATTTATTTTTAATAAACACTTATATCTTCTGTTTCTGTGATTGGCTTCTTTTTAAGAATTGATTTGCAGGATGAACATCTGCTAAGTAGGAGGTTCCGGCTAGTTGAGGTTCTGGTTAGTTGAATTTTTCAAGCATGCAGCCAGAGAACAGAAATATTTCATTGTTGTGTAGGCTCATTTATGAGTTGTCTCAGTAACTAGATCAAGAGAATATTGTTATTATGAACAACCTATTGGAAACACAGAATTGGATCCTTTATGTAGAATGTTTTGGTGTAATACGAGTTTTTCTGAATAAACTTGTGCAAATATTTATTGCATATTTGCAGGGAGAATTTTGTGCTGGGCGTTTTGGGGACACAAAACTGAATTAGTCATGAAGCTGCTCTCAAGAACCTTAGAATATAGGAGAAGAGATAAAGTACACACAGAAGCATGTGGTACACATTCGCTATGGTTATTTAAATAGTTTAGGGGATGTTTTCTAGTAAAAAAAAAAACAAAAACATTTATGAATAAGCACAATCTATAGCTGATTCTTTGCTTTATGGTATCAAAGTATTTTCTGAAGTGTTCTTCAAAATCATAGATATTAGTATTGACATTGCCTTGCATGTATCAGAACATGCCATGTTGCAAAATAATTATAAATATGTAAAATATTTTAACATGAAATAGATAGAAAATAGAAAATCAAGAAAAGACCTCATATAAGATCATTTAGGCTAAGGGAATTTTGTGACACTGTGACGCTGATCACCTGTTAGGCTACTTAGATTCAGGATATTCAAGTGCATGTTCAGGACATAAATTGCGTTAGGTGGGCAGTACTTGGAAGAAACTGAGATGCTCCATGATCTCTGGCTAGGTATTATAGGGGTAAAATCTTTTAGTTTAGTGCCATTTTTCATCAACGTATTTGTTAGAAAAAAGCCCATGATGGGCTTCTTTTCCCAGTTTACACAGATCACATAAAAAATTTTCAAATGCATTTAAATACCATTTGTTTTTAAAAAATAAAAAAGGCAGAAAACCACCCCTGAAGCCCTAAATATTTGTGAGGGTTGATAGTTGGGTGAACTCATTGGGGAAATCCTATAATTATTGCATGGGGTTCATGTCAGACTTTTAAAAAGTAGGTTAAGAGTATAGGCCTGAACTGAAAATTGTCATTGAGAGGCTCATGAGAATAAAATAAAATCATAGGTGATTCTTTCCAACATTTTTAAATACACCTTATTCTTAAAAAAAATAAGTAAACATATATATACATCTTATCCATACTTCATCTTGAGGTTTTCTTCACCTTCTTTAATCTCTTTTCTTGATGTCCTAAAGGACATCTATTTTTGTTGATGGTGACATTCAATTAAAGGAGACTGTTGACTGCTATACTGTGAAGTCAACAAATACTCAAATTTTTCCTCATAGGCTTATCATTGCCATATCTTGCTTTTCTCTTTCTAATTCAGAATGATATCTTTTGATCTACTTAATTATGGAGGAATTCAGTGCCATCTTTATTAATTTTTATTTGAGATTTGTTACTGTCTTCTCGGACTTACACACTTAAACTTATGAGGCAATAATTAACAACTTAATAATTGTCTTATTTTTTTCTTTTAGAGTTCATGGTAAATTTAGAGTATCTGGGCTTATATAGCCCACCTTTATGGGGGCTGTATGAGAAAAAAAGGGTTTCTAGATTGTTACTTTTTTTCTTTCATGCCTTTATCTGCTGCTCTCTGGTAAGGGATCAGAAAGAACTGTAAATAAAATCCCTCACCTTGTACCTTAGTAATTTGTAACTTTTACGCAGAAAAAGAACTATATGGCAGGATATGTATGGTGAGAGACTCCTATGTAAAATCTTCTGCTTTACAGGCTTTCAAAATGTAATGCCGTCTTTTACCGTGTTATTCATTTGTTACTTAGGCTTGCCTGTATAGTACATTATCTCTCCTAGTATGTGACCTGATTTCTCAGCTGTCTCATAAACTCTATGAGAACCCTAGTATCATTTTTTGGACATTCTATGCATGTAACATGTTTGATGAAATTGGCAATATAATTTCACAAGTAGAAATTTGAGGCACTGAAGGGTTACTCAGGAGATCAGTTGCCTCTCCAAAATAGGACAGGGTTCTTTTAGCTCGACACCATATGGCCTCTTTGGATGACTCAATCTTGGAATAAAAATTATACTTTATTTATGTATCTCTATGATAAGTGAATTCTATAGGGCTTGAGAGGGCCAAAAAAGCTCAAGGTTTCTGTGTCTGTATGGGTCATTTTCTCTATGAATTAGATTTCATTTTATCTTCAGTTGTATGTTTTTTTAGAGATTTCTGCTGGTTGTAATATTTTCACAAGGAGATAAAA